AGGAACCTGCTGTAAAACAGCAATTATGCTGAGTCAGGCTTGATTTTTAGTAATCTTTTCCTGTTAAATCAAAAAAATCAAATCAAATCAACAAAAAAGCTGGAATGAAACTAGGAGTCCTGACCTTCAGATACAACCACAGCAGATGTTAAACACAGACCCCGGTGTGTTCACCTGAAAAGGTGACATGTTTGAATTTAAAACTGGAAAATGTCAAACATCTGTCCGTCGCCGTTTCCTGCTCATCCATCACTGCAGCTTCAGTTTGTGTTCATTTCAAATCTTAAGAGGCTAACGGTGGAGTTTTGTCAAAAGATACAGGATGGAAAGATTTCTGATGGTTAAAAAAACATGGAAAACTAAAAAAATATACATTTTCAGTGTAAAGAAGATGAAACTTTATTGTTAAAGCTAAAAGAAGCAGAATGCTAACTAAAATCTAAACATAGCAAAAGACTAAATTTAAAAAGTAAACAGCTAGCTAAAAAGAAAAATGTTTGGTGAAAAGTTAAAAGACTATCTGAAAACAGCTAAAAGTAGTAGATCTGTAGCTAAAACGACTAGCTGACTGGTAGGTTAAAACTAAAAGTAGCCAAAGTATAGCTAAAAGTAAAAAAAAAGCTAGCTAAAAAATCTTGAAAAGTTAGCTAGAAGCTAAAAGTATCAAAAGGCCAACAAGAGGCTAAAACCAGTACAAGCTGGATGAAAGCTAAAAGTAGCACAAGGCTAAATATAAGCTAAACAAAGCAAAAGGCTATCTAAAAGTTAAACATAAGAAAAGGTCAATGGCAAGCTGAAAGTAGCAAAAGCAGATGTGTAGCAAAAAGTATAGCAGACTTGTAGGTTTGAACTAAAGTAGCAAAAGTATGGCTAAAAGTAAAATAAAGCTAGGTAAAAATTAAAAACGTTAGCTAAAGTTAGAAGCTAAATCATCAAAAGGCCAATGAAAAGCTAAAAAATAGCACAAGGCAAGATATAAGCTAAAAGTTGTAAAAATCCAAGCTAAAAGCTAAAACTATCAAAAAGCTAGAAGGTGAATTATCAAAATACCAATGAGAAGCTTAAAGTAGAACAAGGCTAGATAAAAGCTAAAAACAGCAACCGGCCAATGAGTAGCTAACAGTAAGACTAAATAAAAGCTAAAAATAGCAAAATGCTAGCTAAAAGCTAAAGGCAGCAGAATGATAGCTAAATGTAGCAGAAGAAGACAACAAGACATTTAGCTGAAGCAGATTTCAAAGAGAACAAAGTTTTTGAAGGAACCAAAGCGATCTGAATGCATTTCTATAGAAAAATATTTGTAAAGTTTAATATTTTGAAAAAATGTAAAAGTTCCAAAAACCAGCTGTCAGAGCTGGTGGTGCCCCTGTACTGAGACCACTTTACGCTTGATGACATCATTTCTTCTTCCAGTTTGAGGGCAAATCTTTCAATTCTGGTAGTTTTTGTCAATCGATGATCATCTGACACTCAGATATTTACACTCTCAACACACGACCTCAGTTTTCACATTGTTCTCTGTATTTTTTGCTCTCGCAGATTTCAGGGCGTGAAATGCAGCAGAAAGATCTTCAGACCAGAGAAGTGTTTTCAGCTGCTCAACCTGAAAGTGAGAGCTTCACTCAGCGTAACTCACTCTTCAACAAAGAAGCTCTGCAGGTAAAAATGTGACACACACACACGCACACACTAAAACCACAAGTTTATCTAGACATTAACCTTAAAAAAAGTTTTCTTTTTGGTTTTTGTTATCAGAGAGACAAGTAGGTACATAAATATTGAAGCACCATTTTTCCCGTCACGTTTTGATTTGCTGCTCTCTCTGCAGCCGAAAAAAAAATCCATCATAATGTGTGTCTCAGTTGAGAATAACAGTAAATTATACGCTGCAGACAAAACTGGCAAAAAAAAGAAGAAAAATCTTTGGGTTTTCGTAAAAACGTGAGTTAGAAAGAGCAGAAAGCGCAGACGTCTTTAGAAACATTTAAGTCTTGTAAGATTTTTGGAGATGTTATCACAGAATGTTCAAATCAAATCTCTGTCATAGAATTTAAGGTTTTCTTTTAAATCCACGCAGAGTGCAACGTGTGCACACCTAGACTCTCATTGCCATCCATCGTGTCTAAAATAAAAAAAATTCTCCTCAYTTCTGGAAGGGAAGAGTTTTTTACCTTGTCTATAAAACACTAAAGCAAATCAAATTTCAATTATGAGTCAGAATATTTTGCTTTAGTACAACTTATAGATTTCCCAATATGACTATTTGTTTAAAGCTTACTTTCTTGTCTGCCTTTCTGCCTGTCTTAATTAYAGTGCCATTAGGGTATGGCAGACAAGGACCCCCTTTTTTACATTGAAACACAAACGTTTTGTCAACATAAACAGTTTTTATGTAGAAAAACCAACATATCGTCAACATAAAGTTTTTACGTAGAAACACCAACATATCGTCAACATAAAGTTTTTACGTAGAAACACCAACATATCGTAAACATACAGTTTTTACGTAGAAAAACCAACTTACCGTCAACATAAATAGTTTTTACAAAACACTAACATATCGTCAACATAAAGTTTTCGCTTAGAAACACTAACATACTGTCAACATTTTACACTGAAACTCCAGCATATCGTCAACATTTTRCGTAGAAACACCAACATATCGTCAATATAAGCAGTTTTTACGTAGAAATGTAAACAGATCATCAAGATAAACAGTTTTTTACCTCAAAACACCAACACATCATCTATATAAACAGTTTTTACATCAAAATGTCAACATATTATCAACATAAACAGTTTTTACATAGAAACATCGACATATTGTCAAAATAAACAATTTTATGTAGAAACATTGACATATCATCAACATAAACAATTTTTACGTAGTAACATCAACGTATCGTCAACATAAACAGTTTTTACGTAGAAACATCGTATCAACAACATAAACAGTTTTTACGTAGAAACATCGACATATTGTCAACATTAACAGTTTTTAGATAGAAACATCGACATATCATCAACATAAACTGAAGAAAAATGAAGGTACAAACATGACTAGGCTTTYGCAGAAAAAGTTGAAATTTGTTTGAATTGTCAGGCGATTTAGCTGGAATATTTTCAGTTAAAATCCTGAAAATCTCTCCTCTGACATAGAGAGGCTGAATGGAACGGAGGTCAAATCAGGAAGGAAGCTGTTGGTTGCATGACCCTTCAGTGGGAACAAAATAAGAGCTGGTTCTTATTTTGTCCTGAAAAAAAAAACAAAAAAAACAACTGTGTGATTCAGCTGAGGGAGGAGAGGGAGGGGAAGCCGCCACAACCAATTATTTAGAGATGAGATCATTGTTTGGCTCCATCTCTTCACGCCTTCGGCTCGGGGAGGCTCGGCCAACCGCTGGTGTTATCTCATCGCTGCACACAGGCATTTCTGTCTCAGCAGCTTGGAAAGGGGGACATTTTGTCCAGCAGTTTTGTCATCGGAACTCAAGTTGAGCAACCACCCAAAGGGACATGCTCTTTGCTTCCAAACACAAGAATTTAATTTTGGACGTGTCAGCAGAAGGATCGTGTTGAAAGCAGCATGTCGTTAGCTCTGCTGTGATCTGGTAGACGATGTAAATTTTTTAATGGCTCAAGGGAAAGCAGCATTTCACAGAGAAACATTTGTTTCAGCAGCTGCTCTGCTAAATATCTCACTCTTCATCATTTCTTTTTCATGATAAAACAAACTCCCGGTGTATTTTTGGGGCCAAGATGCATACTTGAGAAATGAAAACGAACATAATGATGGACATTTTGCATCTGCGAGGATTAGCAAACCCAAAATAAACAAAGTAATCTTTATTGTCCATAAAAGGCAGGCAACGATCCTGTCTTTTAGTAAAATATGTAGTGAACTACTCYATGGATTTAAACATACCTGCAACTTCCGTATCTTTGGATAAACYGCTAAAACTGTGATTGGAGTCAGATTAGTGAACTTATCAAACATAAAACTWGTTAGAACTCGGTTCTACAGATAGTAAGCTAAAATTTGACGTGGTAGTAGATGAYAATCATTCCCAACACATATTTTGAGCACTAACTCACGCAAAAATSGCTGACGGAACCTGTCAACTCCAATTCAAGATGGCCACCACAGCTAAGCAACATTAGCAATAGGGATGCACKGACATGAAAATTTCAGCCGATATCGATATCCAATATAATTACTGCTTTTAGGCCCAATAACTGATATTTACCGATATTACACAAACACACAAATTATATTAWACATAWATGCACAAACACACCTGGGTCTTTTTTTGAGACCKTAAATAAARYACCAGACCTCTGACATGGCTCACTTCAGTCATTCCTGGCTTTGCAGCYTCAATATCACTATCATGARCAAACAGATGCTGCTCAACCAAKCYTCTCCCCTCCCAAAACAGAAACACAAAGATAAAAAGTGGGAAATCAGTATCAGATGTTAATATCAGCCCKGTTTTACATATCGGACTGATACCGATATTAATGCCGATATATCGTACATCCCTAATTAACAAACACATAAATGATGTTATCTCAGTCAGTTCTACAGGCATTAAGCTGAATTTTGGTGTGGCATAGGCAGTGTAAGCAAACGCTAAGGGCGCCATCAAGCTAGGGGGCGCCACAAATGGGGGGCAAAAAATATATAAATAATCACTGGTTACTGTGGTTTTTGAAGGTTCATTACAACTCGAGGTMTTATTTGGCGCAGAGGATGATTTATGATGAAAGTATATGCAAAATAAGGATAATAAAAGTTACAGTTATGGCAGGGTTCCTACAGTTTAAAGCAAGTTAAATTTAAGACTTTTTAATGCATACTGAAATTAAATTTAAGACCAATTTCATAATAAACACCAATGACAAAAAATAAAAACCGGCAGACCGTATTTTTGGTTGAAGTGTTCAAATATTTCTAACAGACCAATTGTTTTTATTCATATCTAACTGCTTTTTAAACAAACATAGCAAAAACATTCTTAGCAGTCAGTTTAACGACCCAAAACTTGGAGTTTTAGGACCTACAGTGGGGTCTTAACCCCAATTTGCTGTAGATGAAACCTTGAAATGTCTGTGGCATCAAGTTTTTGTAAGAAAAGTGAACGCACTTTTGGAAAGACAGCATTATTAACACATTACAAAACACAGTTCACGTTGCTCAGATGGACAGTCGTTGAAATATTTGCATGTGAAATAACAGGAAGTGATGTCAAAGGGGAATGTCTGCATGTGAATATGAAAAAAAATGTTATAAATTATTTTAGTATTTGAGACAAATTACAATCATCCTATTTACAATGTGTTAACATTTTTAAGACTTCTGAAAGATTGATTTAAGGCTAATTAAGGCCTTATTTTCGGATTGATGAATTCAATGACTTTTAAGACTTTTTAAGGATCCGCAGGAACCCTGTACGGTCTCAGATAAGGTTCAGTACATCAATAAATCACATTTTRATTTAAAACTTTGAAATGACTTCCTTCACTGGAAGCTGGTTTCCTTTTATCCCTGATATTTCTCATAATAAAACGTGATGTGGCGATCGTTGAAAGCAGTCTGTGCGTAATGTGATTGTGAATAAAGCCCCCGACTGTACATTTTTGATTAAAAAACAGTCCATTGTTGTGGAGAGTGGACAGGAAGAAACAAGAGACTCAGAGACTTCCCGCTCGATGAGGTCATGGTGAAGACATGGGAGCCGCTGTGAGCAGATATGGGCAAGCTTTGTTTTGTCAAGCTCTTTTCCTTCTGTTCAACCCAGAAATACTTCAGCAGCCGAGGGGGGTGGGGTTGTGACCTTCCTCTCCGGGGTAAACGTGACATCATACACGTATGTGAGCAGCACCCTTTGGTGTGTTGGTGATTTAAAGTGAGGTTAATGGATTTTATGTGTTGTTATTATGACTGCTGCTTTCTGACGCTCGCACAAAYCCGTAAAGTGAAATTTGCTGTAATTTTTTTTATTTTTTTTGCTGATTTTATCAGCAGCATGACTCATGTGAAATCACTCATCGGTCCATTTAGAGACTTGAGACTTTAGAGTGGCTCATTGACTTCCACGCTGTGCTGTTTGAAATGAAAACAAACTTCGCTTCTCCTCGCTGACCACCGGGTTTTGGACTTCTTACTCCGTGCAAAACGTTGCCAGAAAAGGCATGACTGCGGGATCGAGCCTTATGCAACAGAAACCCCGGGCCGGGCCAAGAGAAACTCTGCTCTGCATAACATGACACCGGAGAACTGAGAGTTGTTCTCCAGCAGTGCTGGATAAAGTACCACAAAGTGATACTTGAGTAAAAGTACAAGTATCTTACCAAAAAATGACTCTAACTTTTACCAAAGTCTCCTTTAGGAGTATTACGTAAGTAAAAGTTTTAAAGTATCTGATATTTTGATATTTTTTGTACTTAAGTATTGATTAAAAGTACTGATTTAAAATGAGCAGTTAGATTTTATGTAAGGACATTCATTAGGAGGTGACCTCCCCAAAAACTGCAGAAATGACTGTTGTATTAAAAGAATGAATGGATGTTAAATTTAGGATGCACTAGTCCAGCTGTTTCAGTTTATATACATATATCAAGGCTGCACAAACCTTTACCCCAAAATGAAAATCTATCTGAGGGCTGCGGGAAAATGCAATAATATAATTCATGAAATACAAATACTTCTTAAGTACAGTACTTTATTTTTAATGATTAAGCTTAGCAGCCAGTGTGGTGGCCCACGTTTTTAACTAACTGCAATACAGCCCCTTATATATTCATTTGGTCAATGATTGGAATGACTTTAGGTGGAAATACTGTATATATA